AAAAAAAAAAAAAAAAAAAAAGAGATTTGCCTGGAGTACAAAGGGCGGTAGCTACATCACAGGAGGGTCTTAGTGGGTTAAAGTGGACAGTGAGGTTTGATCCTGATGGTAAGGATCGCAGAGAGAGACTCAGTGTGGTGGGGACACTGATAACAAAGAGTGGGAGGTGAGCAAGAGGGCAGGTTTTTTGACATGGTCTCGCTATGGAGTTCAGGCTGGCCTTGAACTCATTATGTAGCCCAGGCTGGTCTTGAACTCATGGTGATCTTTCCGTCTCAGCCTCTCAAGTGCTGGGATTACAGGTGTATACCACAACACCCAGCTTGGATGGGCAGGTTTCCATGGTAACTGTAGGAGAGTGGGGATGATGCATGCAGGCTTGGGGCTTGATGATGGGACATAGTTCTGCCATCTGACACATCTGTTTCCTCTGGGAAGGAGGGATGGCTGACCATTCTTGAGACATGGAAGAGGAGGAGGTCAGAGGGTTGAGGTGAGTACAGACCAGAAGACAGCTGACCAGATATCTGCAGGCTGGACATGTGTGCAGGGATGTCCTCTATCCCAGGCTGGGGCTGCGGTATCACTGTCAGTCACTCTGTCCTGTATGGTAGGTGCAGGCCTGGAGGATATGGATGGTCAGGATTGTACATGGCTAGGTTTTGCCAGATGAGGACAGTGAGAAGACAGAGACAGGAGGGTTAGGGTTAGGATGAGATGGCAGGCCCTGGGAGGTAGGCTAGATGGGGGTAAAGGACTGATGGAGGAAGCCAGGAGGCCTGTGGGCTGAGGAGGGGGGCTTCCTGGAGTTCTGAACCTGCTGGGGAGACCACAGGCCCTCAGAAACACAGGAGGGCAGGGCAGGTGCAGGTGGCCTGGCAGTGTGGCGTGGACAGGAATCCTGGAGGGAAAAGGTGGGCCTGGGAGGGATTATGGCCAGGAATGGGGGCTTCCTAGGTTGAGGACACTGGGCCTGGTGGCAGGCATGGGGGGAGAGGGGATCAGGGTCCTCATTAGGTGGAGAACCAGCCCTGGTCTCAGGTACTGGGCTAGATTTGCACCAGGACCGGCTGGTCCATACACAGTGGTATGGAGAGGACCTTTAGTGACAGCAGTCAACTCAAGACATTTCAGGAAGAAGGGAGGACTTCTCAGCCCTGTCTCAGCCAGTAGTGCAAGGGGCTGTGCCTGGGGGCAGGCAGGGACCCTGGAGTCTCTCTCATGTCTCCCCTCAGTTTAGTTTCATTCATCCTCCCAGGCTACTGCCTGTCAATATATGAAGAAAGCCCGGATACCAAGAGTTAGCTCCTACGTCCCTTCCTGCAGCAGCCAAGCTCATCTGGACACAAGCCTGGCCCGGGGCCTTATCCGAAGGTGCCCCACACCTCAGATCACCCGCTCTCCACAGCTGGACATGCAGCGCGTCCAGTCTGCTGAATGTCCCACCCCACCGAGACGGGGCTCCCAAGCAGCCCGAGCCCGCCTCCAACCCCGGGCATGCTCCTGTCCTCCAGTGCCAGGCTGGCACCCTGGCGGGTCCTGGTACCCTGACCGGGTGCAATGTCCTCCAATCTAGAAATCGAGTGGGCAGGGCCCGGACCATTCTGCTCTCTTCGCTCTTGACAGCGTAGGAGACAGGGGACCCTATGCGAGATCCCGGGCCTGGGAGCTCCAGGGCGGGGCCAGGGTTTCTCTCCGCCCGGATGCCACAGTAATAAGGATGAGGTCCGCCCCGGCGCTAGCCCGCGCCTACTCTCGACCCCACCGCCGCCCGGGGCAGGCGCGCTGACCTGCCCGAGCCGCCGTCTGCGTCACTCGCCGGCGGG